ATGTTTTCTCAATGCTGCCTACGGTCATGTACGGTCATGACGGTATCTTCCCGCTGGCCCAAGCGCCCTGATACTTAAGATTCTCATATCAGATTTGTACCTTCCCCATAGAAGCTTCGAGAATCAGTTGAAGAGAAAGGGGTCCATTGGCTGGGGAGAGTGGGCTAGGTTGTTTGGCTGCAGGGTCTTCTGCCGCCCTCGGAACGATCCTTGCGACCCCTGTCTGTCTTTTCATCTCGGCTTACCAGGATTGACGTCTCCGCGCACAGTAGTAAAGTAATAACAGCAGGTCTTAACGAGCCGCCAACGATGATATCAATTTGAGGTTTGATGAGACTCATATCAGAGGAGATAAACGCCGGAGAAAAGAGACAAGATAAGATGGCAGGAGAGTTTCAAGACCAACACAGAAGACAGAATGTCAGTCTGTTGCCAGAGTGAGCGTTGCAATTTACAAGCACAACGCATTGTTCAGCCTTTCTAATTCTAAGTGTGATGATGGGGATTGGCTTGGTAGGATGTTACGTGAACAAGCGTTGCGGAGATATATAGCCATTCAGAACGCCGGACTTATGTGGTAGACGCTGAACAACTTGTAAACAAACCCATGCCCCTCATTTTGGTTTATTGGCCAACCGAATTCGGCCCCTCGAAGAATTGATCAACATGTATGGATATTGGTTAGAATTATAGAATAACAGTGCAGGTGGTTGATGTTGTTAAAAGACGGTGGTAGTGGTGAGTGGTTGCTGGCAGGATGCGGGCAACGGGCAACGGGTAGGAGTTACTACGTAGTAGCATGTCGTAGTGGGGTGGCTGGAGATTTCTGGAGTCCTGGTCATTGGAAAGTTGCTACTAGACGCTACCTAGACGCTAGACGGATGGATAACATGGATGTACGTACATAATGTACATACCTACATGTACATATGTATACCCGACCTAACCTTACAGTAGCGATATACATGACATAGTACATCTATATACATACGTAACCTATGCTGGGCTAAGCATATTCAGTGGAAAATGTACTAATAACCTCTGGTCAATGCACCGACCCGCTGACTGACCAAGTATTCGGGACTTCTTTTTTTCTGGGTGCTTCTCCAAATTTCACAAATTTCAAATACCAGCCTGATGATTCTTGTTCTTATTCAATAGACGCGAGCACATCACTATCTGCTTTTGTGCAAGTTGGCTGTGCGAGAAGGCGAAGGTACCGTGCTGTCCCTGCACATTGGAAAAAAGTCTCGACAGGCTGATAAATCGTATCTTCCTTATTGTCATTTTTCACAATTCTTACATCTTAAACCATCTTTGGTTTTGACCGTCCCTTATAACCTTTTAACCTTCTTTCGTCACCGCTGCGCTTTCCCACAAACGCGGCCTTCCTAGTGCCCCTCAAACTTATTCGGGGATCTTCTAGTCACTCACTTACATTGAGGTTTAACCATTGCTGTCCTCCCAGCTCAGGTTTTTGCCCCAGTTCGACCGAAAAACAAGAGAAAAGAGGTGAACCAAAGAAAAGGTCCCTTTTCTCCTGCAGCCTGCAACTCGACCAGAGTTGGCTAGTATCTAAAGGGAAGGGCTAGCACGGCGGTGTGTCTTACAAGGCGGAATCACTGCGTAAGTGTTTTTATTTTATTTTTTTTAAAGCAACATTTCATGCCGAATCCACTAGTAGTTGGACAATCCAGGAACGCACCACTGAGAGCGCTATGATTCTTTGCATGTCAAACGTCAATTGGCATACGTAAACTTGGTGTTGCGAAATACGGATGAAACTTTAATTTTTAATTTTTCTTGTTTCTTGTCTTTGGGGAATTAACTAACCATTTTTTATTTTTCGCACTAGGGCCTACTAGGATCCGGCATCAAGCAGAAGGTAATCGAACAGCGGAAGAGCGTTTGAAGCGGGAACCATAGCGACTTATTATTACCTTGTCTTAGGTAATAATAGAGGTGTGGGAACTTTTTTTTTTTATCTATGTACCGCGCTTGACTAAAGCCGAAAACCTCCATTCCAAATGAAGGGCTTATTCAACTCGAAAAAATCCCCAAAGAAACAAACTGCAGGCGATAGCAGCGAATCTCACCACACCCCCAATTACCAAGATAAGCCACAGCCTCAAATTCCTCGATCAGAGCAAACTTCTTCAGCTGTAAAGCCTTCCATCAGCTCTACTAAATCGTCCCCCACCAAAAAGCCCTTGCGCCCCGCATCGCCTTCCCAAAGGGAGCAGCCTAAATCGCGAACTTCTCGCTCTTTTGCGAGACATTCAAGCGACCAGGGCTCTTCTTCAAGGAGAAGTAAAATCGACACCGATATCCATCCTCTAAATTTACCTCCCGAGGAGCTCAAGCGCTTATCTGCTCAGTATAATATGAACAGTAGGAATTCCGTCGACAAGATGGATCTCGACAAAGATACCCCGGCCGTGCCTCCGACCTCGCCACCTCCTCTACAAACCCAATCTTTTACTATCCCTGTCAACTCTTCTCCTACGAATGGAGTGAAGAAGGATGCGAATGATGAGGCAGAAGGTCCGGCTCCTCCGCCTCACAGGTCGAACCCTTCCAGTCCGGTTCCCACAGATGCGGAAGCGGCCGAGGCTCACAAGGCTGACGGAAATAGATTCTTCAAGCAGAAGGATTATGCACGAGCAATTGCTGAGTACACGAGTGGTATGCTTTTGCGAAGTCACATATTGCGCGTTTGAAAACTAACACATATACTAGCTATCCAGCTTATGCGTAACGAACCTACATACCTTAGCAACCGTGCTGCGGCTCTCATGTCCGACCGCCAATATGAGGCTGCTCTGGAAGACTGCGTTCGAGCTGTGGACCTAGACCCCCATAACCCTAAGTACCTGTTACGTCTGGCTCGGATTTACACTAGTTTAGGACGTCCCGAGGAGGCAATGACTACTTTTGGCCGTATTCAACCTCCTGCTTCTGCCAAGGATATGGCTGCCGCTAGGGAAATGCAGCATCACGTCAGAGCAGCCCAGGATGCCCTTGACCGTGGCACAAGTGGCTCTATGGTTTTACACGCTCTGGATCAGGCTGAGAAGTTGCTTGGTCCTGGAGCGAGCAAGCCTAGAAAATGGCAACTAATGCGAGGCAATGCATATCTCAAAATGGGAGGTGCTAACTCCTTGGGAGAAGCGCAGAATGTAGCAATGTCAATTCTAAGGCAGAACAATCTGGACCCGGAAGCATTGGTGTTACGAGGACGTGCACTATATGCCCAAGGAGAGAATGACAAGGCCATCACGCATTTCCGAAAGGCGTTAAGTTGTGATCCCGACTTCAAGGAGGGTGTGAAATGGCTTAGAACTGTCCAGAGGCTAGACAGGATGAAGGAGGAGGGCAATGCGGAGTATAAGGCTGGACGATGGCAAGCTGCTTTCGACAAGTACTCAGCTGCTCTGGAGGTTGACCCCGCCAACCGAGGCACCAACTCGAAGCTCTACCAAAACCGGGCCCTCTGCCGACTTAAGCTGAAGCAATTCGCCGAAGCGATTGCCGATTGCGACCGAGCTTTCAACTTAGACCCTTCGTACATCAAAGCCCGGAAGACGAAGGCTAACGCGCTAGGTCAAGCGGAGCGGTGGGAGGATGCCGTTCGCGAGTGGAAGTCGATCCAGGAGTTAGATCCCGAAGACCGAAGCATCGTCAAGGAAATTCGCAGGGCGGAGCTAGAGCTTAAGAAGAGCCAGCGTAAAGACTACTACAAGATTCTCGGTGTTGGCAAAGATGCCGACGAGTCCGCTATCAAGAAAGCTTATCGCAAGCTTGCTATCAGGCACCATCCGGACAAGAACCCCAACGACGACGCGGCCGCTGAACGTTTCAAGGATATTGGCGAAGCTTACGAGACCTTGAGCGACCCTCAGTACGTATCAGCCCCCTATTTCTAACATTTCTTTCGCTAATTATCTCGTAGAAAGCGTGCTCGCTACGATAGCGGAGACGATCTAATTGACCCCTCCGACATGTATGGCGGTGGCATGGGCGGTGGTATGGGCGGCGGCATCGACCCGGAGATCCTCTTCAGTATGATGAACGGCGGTGCCTCCTTCGGCGGCGCACAAGGCTTTGGCGGTGGCGGTTATGGTGGTCGCACGCGTTCTCAGGGTTTCCCAAGTGGATTCCACTTCGGTTGACAATCCAAGCCTAGAGAGGACATCGATGGCGATTCTGATTATGATCGAGACGTTAGCTCCGATAATGAGCGGGCACCTTGGGGCCAGTTTGAGCAGGGGTCTTTCCATGGCGTGACTTTAGACGAGAGGATTACTCAATTCCGCTGGTCCTTGATAGCAATGGCGTGCGCGTTCGTGTTCCTCCCGTTGGAATTGGCCACGACGTTGCTTGTGTTGTATATCTGCGGTGTGCTGGCAAGGTCATCGGGTACGATACGCGGGATCCTGTAAAGAAGTTAGGGACTTAGGGATAGACGCTTCATCATCGCCGGCGTTAGGGGGGTCACATTGAAAGCCATTTACGTGGTGTCCTATCTCAGATGCCCTAGAGTATGGGCGACTACTTAGGACAACAGCATAGGAACGAGCAAAGGGTCTGCTCGCAAAAAAAAAAACACAGAACTAATGATAGACACCTCAATGAATAGGCATGAACCGGGTCACTTTGTTTGTTTTTAAACGATGCATTTACTTTTTACTTTTTTATATTTTCCTATTCGGTGTGTATGAAATCTCAATGCCAGCGCGTTATGATAGATGCGTTATGATAGATGCATTTCGATGTTTTGAATTCCATGGTTGGATACCCGCTTTAACAGTATGTAGTGCATGTGATATTACCTAGAGTTAAGTTCAGCATACATAGACGTACATACCATACGTAACTGTATCCCTATGTTGTATCCTGGTGGCCGGTAGCCGAGCCAGGCTTTGGAGAAGGTCCGGCTGCCGGGGCTAAAATAGGATGTTATGTATGTACCTTTTTAAGATTCCACCTGCATCGCATATAGGTACAAAAAACCCACCTATATTGACCTAAACCTACGTATCACCGTATCACCGAAGCTGCTTCCAACCTCAACCAACTTCAACTTCAACTTGTTAGCTGAGGTTCCTCAGCAACAATCTTTATAATTGTTAACTACTTTATATATAAAAATGTAACCTCATTCGTTGTAGTGTATTACAATATAGTATACTAAACCCAATCGACCAACCCTGACATTTCCGAGCATCCCTCACCAACTCGCGCGCGCAACCAAGCCTGGCCGACCCCTCCGTAACCCCCAGCACCTATACGCCACCAATCTCACCAGCATCACCACCAACACCAACCAGCGCAGGGAATCTTAGCACCATGGCGCGCTCTCGCATTCTCTGGCGTTTCTTACCCTTCAGCCGCACGACGACGCCGCTGCAGGCTACGACGTATCTCCTTGGGATCGCGCTCTTCAGCATTTCCTTCCTCGTCTTCCTCAACTCGGCCGTCTCGTTCGTCATCACGGACCTGCTGGGCGTGAAGACGGGCGTCGGCGATATCGTCGGCACCCTGGGCTTCGTCGACGAGGTCGTTGCGCTTGTGGCTTGCCCGGCTTGGGGCCTGGTCAGCGATCGTCTGGGCGTGCGCTGGGTCGCCGTCCTGGGGTACGGGATTATTGCTATTAGTCTGTTCTGCTTCGTCCAGGCCCGCGATGTCTATCCCAGTTTGGTCATTGCGCGGATTGCGTTTGCGCTGGGCGCTACGGCTGCGGCGACTATGGTTACGGCTATTTTGCCTGTGCTTACGAATGACGAGAAGGTGGATGCGGATGGCGAGGATAGGTATGATGGAGAGGACGGAGAGGACGGAGAGGATGGAGATGCTGTAAGTGCTGGTAGTGCGGGCTCGAGCCGGAAGTCGAGTCATCATCAGAGGGATAGCGTGGCCATGAGCCTCGAGAGCGACGCTACAATTACCCCGGAGATATTTACTCAGAACCTATCGCGTAATCGGAGGGGCAGCGATGATTCGGGGGACTCCTCTGATACATTTGGTAGCGTTGAGAGTAAAGGTGGCAGACCATCAGCTCTCGCAGGATATGTAGGCTTGTTTACAGGCTGCGGGGCTTTAGTCGCTCTATCTCTTTTCCTACCGCTGCCGACCCGATTTTCCAGGAAAGAGGGCGTTACGCCCGCGCAGGCCATCACGCATAGTTTTTATGTCGTTGGCGCCGTCGCACTAGTCGTAGCCGTCTTCGTATTCTTCGGCCTCCGCGGTCTACACGGCGAGGAAGAGAAGGGCTGGCGCATGCTTCTTGATTTACGCAGGCCGCAGGACGCCGCGGGACCTAATGGTTCCTCTACGGAGATTTCCTCTTCGTCACCTAGACCGCTACCATACCGTAAGCTTTTGATCTCATCGCTTCGTCTCGGTGCGACAGACCCGCATATTGCACTAGGATATCTGGGGGGCTTCGTGGCGCGCGCGAGCACTGTCGCCATCTCGCTTTTCATACCGCTTTATGTGAACGCATTCTTCATCGGCAACGGGTATTGCCGTGGCTCGCCGAACGACCCGTCGCCCGACCTGAAAAAGGAATGCCGCGCCGCGTACGTCTTGGCCTCGATTTTGACCGGCGTCGCGCAGTTAGCTGCCCTATTGTGCGCACCCATTTTTGGGTACGTTAGCAGGAAGAGCAACGGGGTCAATCTACCCCTTGTATTCGCCTCCCTACTTGGTGTCGTGGGATGGATCGCGCTCCCGCAACTCCAGAGCCCCGAGTACGCAAATGTGAGCGACCGCGGCGGAAGCCCGGTTGTCTTCTTGGTAATGATACTTGTCGGCATCAGCCAGATTGGTGCCATCGTGTGTAGTCTTGGGTCCCTGGGCCGTGGCGTGCTAGCTGCCGATGTACCTGTTATATCTAATGACGAGGAAGGGAATGGGATCTCGCACTCCAACGACGCTGAGACGGACGCCCTGTTGGGGCAGGATGCTGGTGGAAGCAGCAGCAGTGATGTTAGTCCCCGACGAAAGGAGAGGGTACTAGTATCCCGCGTGCAACTCAAGGGCTCTATCGCGGGCGTATACTCGTGGTGCGGTGGCGCTGCGATTCTACTCCTGACTAAACTTGGGGGCTACCTGTTCGACGTGGCGTCTCGCGGGGCCCCGTTCTATATGATGGCTATATTTAATGGTATATTGTTTGTCGCGAGCATAGCCATTGGGATCGTCGTGAGGAGAAGTAGAAGTACGAGTAGGTCGTTGAGTTCTTGAAAAGGAATACAGGATTGGAAAGGGGGGGATGGAAAGGTGTAGAATCCCTGTGTAACTTTTGCTATATAGTAATGTGATGAGATGAGCGGACATAAGTGCGAATGAGACGGTTTTCTCGCATCGTAAAATAATCACGGTGGTCTAATTGTTTAATATACTCGTTCCAGTGTCTGATTTTGCCTCGTGGTGAGTTAACTACCTAAAGTTGTCTACCCATGGCTCTAAAATGGGAATCAGTTTTGGCCTTAGATTTTCTTTGCGTTAAGATTTCATGTAATCAGTCGGTAGGTCTTGACATACAATTCTAACGAAGAAGTGGTTGAATATTCCCAATAAATTAGTAGTATAGAATCGATGCGAGCGCTAGGGGTAAAGATACGATTAATGGAACTGTATGAGATAGGTACTCTATAAGTGGTGATCTAGCTTTAAGTAGAACAGCTCCCAAGCATATATCTCAAAAGATCAAGATGTAATTATATTACGGATACCCTTCACCTTTTCTCCGTTCTTAGTCCATACAGGTCATAGCCTATCTCTCACACACCAGCCAGCTAGTTCAACACAGGCGGTTGATTCAGAGCCATCCTCTTAGCTACAGATCCATACTTAGCCTGCCAGGCATAGAAATACACTAGCGCAGCAAACGGCTGGCCTAAGATCGTGAACGAGACCCAGAATATGCAGTTGCCAATGAGTCGGCCATGCGGGCCCTTCATCTTCGAGAACGGCCGCGTGAACCAGATCAGCGGGATCTGGACGATCATCCCCATGAAGGCAACTCCTGGTATTAGGTGAGCATAAGTCCTGCTTGAAACCTTGAATTGTGAAGAAAGGGGAAATGCATACCTATGGGATTCTTAGTTGGGATACCAACTAGAAGTTCGTGTAGTATAGCCGAGACGAAGAACACGGCGATACTGGCTAACTGCATGCTCCAGCCCCTGCCTATCAAGGGCGAGAAGATGTGCCTCTTCATGAACTGGTAGACCGGTTTGTTCCAGAGCCGCCAGTAGTCTCCCAGGCCAGCCGAGTTCCACCAGTCGTCGTAGAAAGAACGGTCTCCGAATCGCATAATCTCTGCCAGTGCGTTGAGCGCCGATTGGAACAGAGCAAAGAAGCCGGCCAGCCAGATGACAAGCGAGATTGTAGACAGCTTCAGAAGCCGCTCGACAATCGATACCAGGTCCAGGTGGTCTATCTTGTCAAGCGAGTTCCATAGGACCGGTGCTGCGTATTGGGCGCTGCAGAACCATATGAAGACGCTCAGACAAACCAATTCGCCGAGTCGCTTGAGGACGAAGAGCCATCTAATATTCTCCGATCGAGGGTATACTGGCTGGTAGACGAGTGTCGGGGCCCACCAGAAGTAGGTCAGATTGCTCATCGTGATATTTTGGGGATACGGGCATTGTGCATATAACTCAGGGACGATAGCCAATTCGCCTTTGACTGGGTGGAGATACGCATGACGAAGATCCCTATTCGTAAGCGCGTAAGACAGGACCTTCATATAGACGATGATAACATGAAGCTCCGTTATCGTACCAATCAGGGGGTGGTAGATGTGGAAATAGACGACCCAGCTGTGGAAAGCCAGAGCTAGAGTGGCGTTCAGGAGATGAGCAGTCCTGATAATCTTCCATTTCGACTCAAAGTTGGCCTGTTGGTCTTCCGTCGGGCTTGCGGTTCCTCCTTTGCTAGCAGATTGGGCTCGCGAGATCCGTGCCTGCTTAGCGGCGTACCATTCGAACGAGTAGGCAATGAAGAGGTGCCAAGGAACTAGTATATAGAGCAGGAAGCCGAGGAGGACATCCTGACGGCGGAAATCGTGACACGTTATACATATCAGGTTCCCGTACTACCGGATATGTAAGTGGGTGTTCGACCGGTGATATCCGGCTGTTTGCTAACCTTTTGCATGTTCTCTATTACCAATCGTAAATTTCCAACCACTGGAAAGAGTCAGTATATTCCGATTTCTATAGCAAGATAGCTACGAGGGTATACCTAGCACGATAACCATCAGATTTCTAAACCCTAGGAAACTCGGAGTGGCCGTTGTGTCATGGCTCAGTGTGGACGGTCTCGACTCGGAGTGAATCGCGGTAACATGTCTATATTTCCTCAAAACATATGACTTCTTTTCTCCATTTGTACGTTTATTGGGGGCCTCGGCTGTGGCGCTGGACTCTTTCGTAGTGTCGTTTCGTCGAGCAGTTGCTGTCACCGTGGGGGGCTCGAGACTTGTAGTAGTAGCCGAGTCCATGATAGGTCGTGTATAATCGTAACGGACTACGTCTATGCTAATAATAAGGCTTCGCTGTGAGGGCACATCTAGGAGTTCTCGGGAGAAAGCTTCAGAACGGTTGGGGAGCTGACGGGAACTGGCAGCTACACAGTTATCAGTGAGAGTTTCACAGAAATCTGGCGATCTTCTATAGCCTCGAACTGACAGCGCCACCTCAACATAAGCGCAATCCTTTGTGAGAATGGCTAAGACATGGTCCCGGTTGGAATTCGGATCGCGATGCGCTTTCGGCCTGGTATAAGAGCAAGGGTGATGTAATACCTTGGATGTGAGGAGATCACTCCGTTACACATATGTAGGTAGGTACCTAGATAATATTTAGAGAGGGGAATGTGGCATCTTCCAGTATGTTGTCGAATAGGTCAATTGGAATGTAGTCACAAGTGTCAAAAGTAATAATATGTAACTAGAGAAAGATGTATGTAGGTCTAATTAATGACATGTCATGATTAATATGTATTTGAAGGCAGACCACGGAGTCCCTGGTCGAACCTTGAGCCTATTTTAGTCGTCCAAGAGAAAACCGTACAGAGCTGTAAGTGAACCAATGGGTGTCGCCATTATTGCCTGTCGATCGAGGTCTGTGGGGACAGGTATTCTTTGTGATTGGATCGTATATTTGTACATACGAAATGGAAGGAATTATCTTATGAAAATGGGAATAAAGAAAAATTAGTCGACCGAGAGCTGGGGTCTAGGATGGCCAACATTGATGTAACATCAATTGACATGTGAAAGAAATGTTTAGTTAGAAGGAAATTTATTCTCGTCGGTTTGGTAAGACAGCCGATGCGATTATTCCGTAGAGAGTTCGGAGACTTCCATCAGAAATGCAGGTGCTCCACTAAAAGTGGCAACTTGAACGAATTAGTACACTGTGGCTCAACTTAGCTTCAGCCGCAGCCTTCCGTTGTGGCGCAAGCTTCCCTTGTCGAAATTACCTAACCTACAGACGTTCATTGTTCGCGTCCTTAGGTCCTTAGGTCCTTAGGTAGTCCCTTTCATCCCAAGCTCACCCAATTATCAATAATTTTAACCGACCACGACACATATCTCTAAATACCGAATTCAGTAAATCTATTCATAATATTTGATTTCCCACGCGAATGTAGCTATAGCCGACTATGGCATACGATCCCCGTGGCGATCATGGCGCGCCGGGCGGAGGTCATGAAGCTGGCAACTTTGTAAGGGCTAGAGGTCGACGTGAGTATTTTGTTACTAGATTACGCTTCCCCTCAAGCCATTGGTGTCCCTCATTTGAGGTGTTTCATATTTGACAACCGCTGTTAAGTTTTGTGAGGGTATTTGATTTGACTACCCGACACGTCTTTTTGAGCCTACTCATTTTCATCTATGTCCATTAGTGTATTAATGCTTTGCTATAGGCCCCGTCACCGATTATGGCTCTACGGTTGCCCATTGGATGCGCAATCGTCAGCCGCGATTCAAAGGCGCCTTCAGAGGCGAGGTCGAACGGCCTAGTGCTAGTTACATCGTTGACGTGAGTTCAACGCAAATGATACTTTGGTTAAATAAACTAAACCATATGTAGATGCTCCCACCCCTGGCAAGGGTCACTAATCCCGCCGACTCTGTCCCTACAAAACATCTTCATTCGTCTTTGAATAAAATCAAACACCCAGTCAATGTTGTACGATGGACTCCGGAAGGGCGTCGATTATTAACCGCCTCAAGCAGTGGCGAGTTTACGCTATGGAACGGTACTGGATTCAACTTTGAGACCATTATGCAAGCTCACGACGTTGCTATCCGGGCCTTAGCTTACTCGCACAGTGACGACTGGTTAATATCAGCTGATCATGATGGTATTATTAAGTACTGGCAGCCTAACTTTAACAACGTGCAAGTGATCCAGGGCCATCACGACCCTATCCGGGATCTTGCTTTCAGCCCTAACGATTCCAAATTTGTTACGGCATCTGATGACTCCTCCCTCAAGATCTTTGATTTTGCTGGTGGTGTTGCCGAGTCAACACTGCAAGGCCATGGCTGGGATGCTAAAACCTGCGACTGGCATCCTACAAAAGGACTGATCGTTTCGGGATCAAAGGACCATCTGGTCAAGCTCTGGGACCCTAGAACTCAGCGTTGCCTAACCACCCTCCATGGTCATAAAAATACCATTACTAAGACATCATTCGAACGTGTCATGGGCTGGTGTCTTGCGACTTCAGCGCGAGACCAAACAGCGAGGATATTTGATATACGAATGATGCGAGATATCTGTCTTCTTAGAGGTCACGAGAAGGATATTTCAACGCTTGCTTGGCATCCAATCCACTCGAATCTGCTCAGCACCGGAGGTAACGAGGGCTCTTTGTTCCACTATATATTAGATGAACCGAACACCCCGGCAGGGCAGGCCATCAGCACGGCAGTTTACGAGAGTCCAGATCCGTTGACAGCACCTGCGCAGTCCATATATCCAACGCACAAGGTCCCCTATGCTCATGACTTCGCAATTTGGTCCCTTGACTGGCATCCTCTCGGCCACATCTTGGCTTCGGGCTCGAACGATCGTATTACTCGGTTCTGGTCCCGTGCTCGGCCTGGCGAGACAGATATCTTCCAAGATAGATATCATATTGGCGAGGCGGCTGCGGAAGCTCAAGGAACTTGGGATCGACGCGGCGGTCGTCGTCAACGTCAAGAGGAAGAAGAACAGGAGCTTGAGGATGAGGCAGAAGGTTTGGTTGATCAGAAGATGCCGCTTAGGCAGCCGGCATCTGCTTTCCCAGGTCTTCCCGGTCTCTCTTTGCCAGCTAACGGCATTCCTCCTCCGCCTCCTCAAATCCCCGGAGTCGGTACTATGTCTGCGTCAGCTACAGTACCACCTCTACCGTTCCCAATCCCTGGCGCGGTTGGTGCCCCACCTCCACCGCTCCCAGGTGGTTTGGATCCGAATAACCCAGCCGACTTTGCCAAGATAGCGGAGATGATGCAGAAAGCCGGCTTACCTCCTCCCCCACCTCCCAACATGCTCCCACCAGGTTTATTTCCGCCTCCGAATTTCCCAATGCCACCCGGGTTTCCGCCCCCTCCACCTTTCTCACAGGCAAGTGTTGAAATGCAGGCTACCGACAGCAATGGTCGGAGAAGAGCACCCCTCCCTAGTCAGGAAGAAAGCCTACGAATGGAACAGAAAAAGGGGAATTATACTAGAGTGCGTTAGTAATCATCGAGCTCTATCCCAGTACCTTATAAAAACTTCCATAATTTCTACCGTGTTCAGTTGTTCGGGGCACCCAACTCGAGCGGGTCGGAGATTTCACCAGTCGATGAAGGATGACGACCCAATTCGACAAGTATAAGCGAGAAAGCGCTCATCCCCAGCGGAGTGAGTACAGGCGGATACGTGCAAGAAACACAGAAGGGTAGAACATCAAGCTATTGATCTGACCAGTTTAGAAAACGTCAGAATTTTGACCGAGGAGGTCAAAGTCAATGGATAGGGCAATTTCTTCTTTGTTCGAGGACGTACCGATCTAATGATGTAGAATTGATAGCATTACTGCATATTTCGGGAGTAGAGCATGTACGATGAGCATGGACGATGCCCCTTGGCCAAAGGGCGGATACCCCAGGCGTTGAAGGCGTTGCTAGGAGAGTTTAGCTAGGTTGCGAAAGGAATGACAATAGATTTCACGATGACACATATCTATACCCGTTCGCGCCTCGCTGACATACCTAGACGTGATAGTAATACCAATTCTAAGTCCTGGCGGTGTTCTTGTACTCTTATTTATTAACATGAAACTTTAGAATGTCCTCAGATGCATCGGATAATACATTAGTGCTTGCCCCTGAAGTCCAGTAGAGTATAGTTTAGATTTATCGTGGATATAAAGTATTATACTATTCCAAGTTATGCTATGCTATGCTATCTATTCCTCACTATAGCCCGATTTGCTACCCGCCACTTGTCGAGAGGAGGACGTGTATTTGATTTCCTCGTCGAAGTTGGTGTATCGGAATGAATCAAACCTCGAACGCCACAACTCGCCCCATCCCAAGAGAAGGGGAGGAAAATGCAAATGCAATGATGTAGATAGAACCGTGTATCCCAATAAAGTTACAAGTTATACATATTAATCTTATCTAGCTCGCCTTGGTCTCCAACCGCGGTTTCTACATATAGTCTTCTATGCGTTAGATACGTACATCATAAGTCTCGTTCAATTCTTTGAGAAGTAAAGTAATTCTGCGGAACGGAAAGACATGGCAACCCAGATATCGCGAATCGAATAAATATAGCGATAATGAAACATCTGTCCTAGCGCTTCGCGACAGCTGAAGAAGAGCCCTGGGGCTTCGCAAACGCCTTTTGCCGGTTGGCGTAGTCTTTGATGACGAGGGCGCAGGTGGCCTCTGTGCAGAGGCGCTTGCGCCGCTGGGCGGGGAGCTTGGTGGCGAATTCGAGGCCGCTGGCGCGCTCGACGGCTTCGACGGGGACTTCGAAGTCTGTTAGGGGTTTCTCGTTGGGGATGGGCGCGTTGGGCAGTACGAAGGCGCCGATGGCTACGTTGCCGCCGACGGCTCCGTCTTCCGCGAAGATGACTTTGTAGAAGTGTGTCGGGACCGCTACGTTTGGCGGGTTGCCGATGACTTCATACCGCACGTACCATTTGTTGTCTGTGGGATCACGCTTGGGTAGATATAACGGGCCCGTGACGACGCGCACGCTGGGATACCGCGAAGTCAGGCCCCGGCAGAAGTCCTCGAAGTGCGCCCAGTAGTCTCGGTTGAAGCCCTCGCCCACCTGCGGGCACATGTTCGTCAGAAAGAAGGTCTCGTCCATAGCGGCTTGGCTCCAGCGTGCGTCGGCCGCGGGGACTTGGTGGCCCCGGTCGTAGCCTGAGCGGAAGTAGTCCTTTAGGCGCGCGCGGAACTTTTCAGGCACGGCCTCGTCTTCTATGAATGTGCTGTGTTTGCGGTCGCCCTCTCGAATTGCTAGTGACGCTGGCGTGATGTGCTCTGCTACCCATTGCGGGTTACGCAGTCGGCGGTCGAACGATGAGATCAACGCTTGCCGCGTCGCGATGTCGGCTACCGGGCCCGGGAAGCCATATTCGAAGAGGCCGGATGGATCGACCGGTAAGAGGTTCACGGCCGCGGGGGCTGAGGTCGATAGGCCTGTCTGTGCGGTTTGCTGGTTCGGGGGAGTGAATATTTGTTTGGCTGGGATAGGGATCGGTGCGGACCCTCCCGCCGTGGGTGAGGTCGAGAATGTCGTCGTCGTTGTGGATATAGTCTTGCTTTCGGGATTACGGTCTGATCGTAACGAGTACATGGTAGCTGTAATAGCGGCGCCGGCTCCTGCGCTTGCCGCTGCGATAACTGCTAACGTAGTTTTTGACATTGTGGGCAAAAGGCGGGTTTCCCTCTAGGAGCTGGTTGGCACTCTTTAAGTTTTATACGAAGGGAGGAATGAATATGTGCAAGAAAGAGGGCAAACGGGCGGTGCGGAAGTCAGGCGCGGTGTGTGAGCAATATGCGGCTCACGAGGGGGGTGTTGCAGTCGCCCGCGTGGTGGAGAGGCGTGCAGCAAATGTCTTAGACGGGATCTTCGAATTTTGAGATTTTCAGCCTCGAGGTAGCGTTAATAGCGTTTACGAGGTGGGGAATCCCCTTATCGATACACTAAGTGGGATGCGGTGATTGGCTAAGATGGGGCTTGTTTTCTGTAAGGTACCGAGGTGAGCACAGACCAACAGTTTATTATTTTAGTCAAACCCGTTCCTCGTGCACCCGATGCACCTGTCAACTTTACTGCTCCCCTTCAGCCCTAAAACCAGAGATGGATCTACCTCTATCACATGGCAGAGTACATCCCAAGTACCGTACACGCTTATGATGTACCAATAGCTTTTCGATACATCTCACCTTCGAACCATGACGTCACCTAACCCAGATACCTGCCTAATATCCAACCCCGTGCTGGCAAATCAAATGATACTCTTCAACGAATATAAATGATTTGACTTATACTTTACAGGCACGTTACATTCGTCGTCGGAATCGAACCGAAGAGACAAGAGACAAATATATAATAGACGACAAGACATTAGACATGCTGATATATTTCATTCGTTACCTACTGGCTAACTACACCGTAGTCGTTTATAAGTCCATATCCAAATAAGTCATTTCTGAGGATATACGCAAAACCCCCAAGCCATTATTTCTTCGGCTATCACGGTTCTTCATTCAAAACCCGACACTTAGTCACATGCGTCCTCTTAACCTTAGTAAGGTACGCAAGCAACATTACCCAAGCATACCCTCAACGGACTCATGTTCTCTCCATCATTCCAGTCGAAATTCAACTCAAGCTCTGTGTTCAGGGTCCTCTATCAGCTCGTGGCTCTCCTCATGCCGGCTTGTTTCGCTGCTTCTCTCAAGACGAACGCTGCTCGCGTTCAGCTTCGCCTCCTGGATCTGTCTAAGGCCCTGCTCAACCAGCGAGGGTACCTCAGAAAGTTCATCCTTTTGAGCTAACGCATATGAAATACCGTATTTTTTCAAGGCAATTTCGAATTTAATATACTCGATCCCCTGGTGGATTAATTCAGAAACTGTGACAGCAAGCAATATGATAGCAGTTGTCTGTCCAAAATCCCATCTATTCTCATCCTCGCCCTCCAGATAAGGGTAGTTTTCCATTCGCAACTTGATCATCATGTAGAGGTGTACCGGAAATTGTAGTGCGCTGAGCAGCAGCAACGGTTTTCGGAATTTTACCGAGGCGAACAAGGAACCAAACATGACGAGTAAAAGCCATACCGCCGTGACCGCCACATATGCCTTATCGGTTGTTGGGTGGTCAGCTCCTGGCACTGCGAGACCCGTCGTTATATAACAGTGACCGGCCTCTTCTGCGGTAAGTGACCATTCATCTAGTCGGATTTCGAGGAAGATGGTGAGTCCTAAGAACAAGACCGCAAAGGCGTATGAAACGCGGAAGCGACCGGTCCAGTAAGCCGGGAATATCTTATGACGAGATCGCGATTCATGCGATTTAGCTCTCATGAAGGTCCAGCAAACGAGCGCCGCCGCATTTGAAACACTGTGTGCGGAATAGAGTAAGTAAACCAACTTGTTAAAAGATGCCGCAAATGACCGATTTTTGAATCTCTTACCCGACGAAACTAACAGTGTCGTAAACTAAGTGCAGATGATATAAGTCGATTTCTCTCCAGCTTGAAAGTGCCGTACTGATAAGTGCGAGTCCTTCATATTGACTGTAAGCCAAAGCTATCCTGTTATATATGGTAGGGATAGGGAGATGAAAGACGTACCAGTGATCATTTGCAAATCGTTTCCAATCATTAATATTTCAGTTACGAACCCGAGTCGCTTTTTCTCGTTCGCATGTTGCGCGGTGCCCTCTTCACCTTGGACTTCGAGGCGACCGAATTTGGTTAGGAAAAACGCCCAGATAGACAATACTAGTGAGATGAAAGCTTGCACGCTGAACCCGATTAAGACCTATGCGCGTTGACGAATGTTAGAATTAACAAGATTCCAAGACTAAGACGGGCGCGCCAAATCTCACTCCGTAACCCGCAATATCGGGCATGGCCTCGCCGACTTTCTCACATTGTGTCGGCTCTCCGTGTAATTCGGGCAACTCAGATGCTTCCATATCTTAATCGTATTAGTGAAGACTCTTGGCGAGAGTAACTCGTAGGGCTGAAGAATCGAGCTGCCAAGTTGCCAAGCGGGCTCTCGATTGGTGATATAAGAGGCCAAGAAACAATTATCTCAGGCCAAGCTTTCTTGAAAGTCAGTTCTTACATATTTGTATCCGCCCCTTCAGACTATATAGTATATACGTATGCCGAAGAGCACCCTCATCTCATGCACGGTACTTGGATAGAGATCCTAAAGCTGAGCTGGCAGGCTGCGCCGCATACAGTCATGTAAGCCACTATGTTTTGACGAATGACGACTCTTTACGAAGATCCAATCTTCTTCAGCTGTCGCATGTCGAATCCCAGTTGCATTGACTACCTACCTAAATTAGGATATCCACGCTACTATTAGGAATAACTGACGTATAAGTGGCTTTTAACCTGTATGAATTCGATTGCACGGGCTTCTGGAGTTTGATAGTTTTGCTAGCTATCCCCGCTATAGGAAATATATTGCGAAAACCACTGATCTTTAGCCTTAGGTACCGTCTTTTACTTTATGAAGATCTCTCTAACCTAGTTAGGGAATATAAACCGAAGGAAGTAAGTGGAATGTCCATTATTAAGGCTGTTTATCAGCCATTGCCCATTGTGCAGATTTGCCTTCTCACCCAATAGTATCCCCGGCCTCTGTTTTGAACAACTGGTATTTGTTGCAGATAACGAAATCTCGAGATATCTCCGCACTTTCCAATAATCACATACGTAAGTGAATTTACAGCAGGCGAGGGCTTATCAAATTGGCCTAGAAGCGTGGTGTTCGTATCATCGAGTCAACGGAGTTGGCATATATATCGGCATGAATGACGACGGAGAGCGGCTCGTCGAAGTCGAGTAACAGATATGTTCAGTTGTCGCGTTTGTTGTGCCAAAACAAAACAAAAACATGAGGGCACCCCTGCGGTGCGCCACAATAGCCCGAGTTTACGAAAATGGTTAATCACGTGATATTATTATTGAAAAAAATATGTTGCGTATTTTTTATAAAAAAAAATATAAAAAATAATAAAAAATAAAAACTTTAAAAAAATATAAAAAAAAAATATAAAATTATATTATATTATATTAATATATATTTAATTTTTATATAAATTTATTAATATAAATTTATATTATATTATAATTTTTAATTTATTTTTATTTAATTATATTTATAAATTAAAATAAATAAATAAATAAATAAATAAATAAATAAATAAATAAATAAATAAATAAATAAATAAATAAATAAATTTATATATTAATTAACGTATATTTTTAAAAATTAAAAAGTTTATATAAAAATATATATAATATTTACATAAATTTTACGTTATATTTTAAATAATAAAATAAAATAATTATTATTAATTTATTATAATTTTATATTTTTTTATTTAATTATATATAATTATTTTAAAATAAAAAAGTAAATTTTTTTAAAATTATTTTTAATATATTATATAAAATTATTAATTTTAAATAATAATAAAAAATAAAAAAATTATATTAATTATAATTAATTTTATATAAAATTAATATAAATATATAATTATAAAATATATTTATATTAAAAATTTATTTATTTAATTAAATAAAATTAATTAATTTAAAATATTAAATATTTTATTAAATTAAATAATTGTTTATATTATATTATTAATGTAATTATTAAATTATCATTTTAATAATGTTACGTATAAATTATTAAGTTTATAATTTTATAATTTATTAATTTATGTATTTAAAATTTTTATATAAATAAATAAACGTGTATTATACGTTATATATTATAATATTTTTTTTATTTATTATTTTTATTAAATTTTTATATTTTTATTAATATTATTATGTAATAATTAAATATAAATAAAATAAATTATAAATATAATAAAGTATTTATATAAATTAAATAATAATAAAAAATAACGTAACAAAAAAAAAAAAATAATACGAAATAAAACTATTACGATAATTGTTATTATATTAATTTTAATTATTGTAAAAATTACAAATTATATATATAAATGTTATTTAAAAAAATTACTTTTTATGTAAAAATTAATTACGTGTTATTACGTAATTATCTTTACGTAATAACATGTTTATATAAATAAAATAAATAAAATAAATAAAATAAATAAAATAAATAAAATAAATAAAATAAATAAAATAAATAAAATAAATAAAATAAATAAAATAAA